CCACCTTAGGTGTACGTGGCTGGCGCCTTAGCCGCTTGAGCCACAGGCGCCGAGCCAGACCACTCTATTCTTTAATTAAAAATGCGCAAAATGAGTGCCTGGTCACCCTAGAATGGGAACCATAAAACAGATAATAAGGACTTGCAATGTATGTCAGAGAAACAATCCTTTAAATCATCATCTAGCTCCCCCAAGTATACAAAAACAAGGTAAATATCCAGGTGAAGACTGGCAAAAAGATTGCACTCATCTCCCAAAGGCACACGGTGTACAATATTTACTGGTATTTGTAAATACTTTTACTAATTGTGTTGAAGCATTCCCTTGCAGGACAGAAAAGGCTCAGGAAGTTGTAAAGGCTTTAGTACGTGAGATTATCCCCAGTTGAAGAGCGATAATGGGGCTGCCTTCAAAGCAGCTGTTACACAGGGAGTATCTAAAGCCCTGAGCATAAGATATCAGATCATCTACACTGTTCTTGAAGGCTCCAATCCTCTGGAAAGGTAGAAAAAATGAGCAATAAAATCAAAAGACAGTTACGAAAACTAACTCCAGAGACACATTTCCCTTGGACTATTACTTTCCATTGTTCTCCTTAGAATAAGAAATTTATAGCTGGGCTTTGTGGCGGGTGCCTGTAGTCCCAGGCTACTCAGGGGGCTGAGGCAAGAGAATGACCTAAGCCCAAGAGCTAGAGGTTGCCGTCAGCTGTGATGCCACCACACTCTACCAACGGCGACAAAGTGAGACGCTGTCTCTTAAATTAAAAAAAAGAAGGAAATTTACCTTAGAGACTCAGTTGTAGTCCATTTGAGTTATTATATGGAAGGTCCTTTTAACTAATGATTTACTATTAAATCAAGACACTACCAAATTAGTAAAACATATTACTTCTTTATCTAAATTTTAACAAATCCTTAAAAACCTCCCAACTACATTTTCACATTCAACACTAAAAGAACTTTTTTCTCCTGGAGATCTAGTTATGATTAAAAAAAAAAAAAAAAACCTCTTCCCTCCAATTCACCTTCCATAATCCCAAGTTGGGAGTGTCCCTTTCCTGTCATCTTACCCCCTTCTACGGCTGTTAAAGTTATGGGACTATATTCCTGGATGCATCATTCACAAGTAAAATTCTGGAACCCACCACCTCCTACAGAAGCAGACCATGAAGAGAATCAACCACAGTCCACCTACACTTCTGAGCCTCAAGAAAAGCTTAGGTTATTATTTAGAAACAAGCAAGGAAAGTGATTTAGTTTTCTTTTGAAATCACTGACTTTGTCATTTCCAACCTGACACCAACAGCACTACGATTAACCCCTCCTCTTACTTTTCTACCCTTGCCTTTTAATATGCTAATAGATTTGTCTTTCAGAAATGATGTCATCAGGCCACTAACAGTAAAGATGGTCCAAGGCCCATTCTATTGTAGACCCCTGGATTGCCCTTCCTCAGGAAGAACCCTGTCCCCTCCTGTCATCACCCACTTCAGCAAGAAGCGGTTAGACCTAGACATAGTCCTTGTTCCCTAACAGCAGTTAGAATTTCTACTCAGAGTGAGATTGATACAGGGCTCTCCCATTCAAGGCTGAACAGGGAACCCCAGTTTTCCCAGGCCTGGGCACTTTCATGAAGGGAATGTCCTGATCTTCTGCCCTAAACTGGAGAGACATTCATGTGTTTGGGGATAACACTCAGTAACATTGAAAATGTGTTTTTATTCCCCAAATCCTGGCCAAGTGTAAATCTCAAAATCTAATACCCCTAGACAAAGAGCCCACTTAGAGACTCCCCACTTGGGTCTTTCCTTCTGCTCGAAGCTCTGGGGCTTCTTAGTCCTTCTGTCCAGAAGCTCTGGTGCTTTTTATTCTTTCTGCATTCCTTTCTGTCTAATGAAATCTTACCTTACCACTTATCTGTGGTCTGTGGGTTCAGTCTTTGAATCCCTGAGAACAGGGACCTACTGAAGAAAGAAATTCCAGTAACACTTCTACCACTTTTAGGCAGATTTGAAACAAAGAAAAATGAAAGCAGCATTCTTCCTCCTTCGGTATCCAGTTATAGAATGTCAGAATTAAAAATTACCTCTGACAACCAGACACAAATCAAAGCCCCCACTTTAAAGATAAAATTAAGAGAAAGATAAAATCAAATTAGATATAAGTGTCAGCGGGCGGGGTGGCTCACGCCCGTAATCCCGGCACTCTGGGAGGCTGAGGCGGGGATGGTCTTAAGTCACAGGTTCTAGATCAGCCTGAGCCACAGCGAGACCTCGTCTCTAAACACAGCCGGCGCTTCTGGCAGGTGCCTGTAGTCCCAGCGAATCCGGCAAAAGGGGAGAGAAAAGAATCGCTTGAGGCCAAGAGTTTAAAGTTAATGCGAGCTGCGATGGCTCGGCACTCTGCGTCAAAAAGAAGAAGATACAAGCGTCAATCCACCTAACACGCATTCCATAATCAGTCAATAATTACAGGAGTCCCTTTCCCTCTTCCTCCCCCCAAAGAGAGAGTCGCGAGGAAAACGCGGAGTCACGGAGCAGGAAGCGTGTATCTCAGCTCTCCTTTGTTATGGCCACGCCAGCGATGCTGTGAAGCCACAGCGTCCAACGCCGCGCCGGCTCAGGCGCGCTGCGGGCAGCCCGGGGGGGCCTTTCCTGCCGCCGCACGCCGGGGTCCTTCCTCGGCTCTCGCGCTGTGCGCGGGAACATGGCGGCGGCCGTGGTCGTGGCTGCAGGCAGAGCTCTCCTGCGGGCGGGCACTGACCTGCTGCGACGAGACAGAGTCCGGGAGCTGCTCCCGCCGCGACTTGAAGTGGGCACCCCCGTCCCGCAACCCGACTTCAGCCTCTCTCAAAACCGGGTGAGGGTTGGTTCTGGCTTATGGGGCTGTTATGCCCTATGGTCGTTTGCGGGAGCGCCCTGAATCCAAACTGGAGTGGCCAGGACTGGGGGTGGCGGGCTTTCTTTGAGGTGCCGGCGGCGGGAGCGGGTATCCTGTGGAGGTGTGCTTAACCTCGTTTTTCTGGCCGTCAGGGCACGGTCACCGTGAAGCGCTGGTGGAAGGTGCAGCTGGCTGGAGAGGGCCGAAAGCCGCGCTTGAATCGGCTACACCGCGTTTATAAGCTAGTGGAGGACGCTAAACATCGGCCCAAGGAAAACCTGAAACTTAGCCTTACGCAGTCTGTGGAGGGTAAGACTCCTCCCCGCCCCCCGCCGAAGCTACTTCTCTTGGGCTGGTCCTGTTCCGCATCAACTTTTTCTTGCCCTTCTTCAGCTCTGTGCCTGCTTTTTCTACTTTGGAAATACTGAGCTGTATATACAGGGTGTGTCCATAAAGCAACAAATTGCACACGAACTTTATGGACACTTTGTATAAAAAGAGGAAGCCTTAAAAAGCACTGCGATTGTGATACTGGGCTCTGGCATGGAAGATTAAAACACGCAGGCAGGAACACCGTTAACAATGTGTGAGGAAAGAGACCTGACAGTTTGTGCCACAGATACTGAAATCTTCTGAACCAACAACTCCTCACTCCATATAGGGAATGCTAAATTTCTTTTTTTTTTTTTTTCGAGACAGCCTCTACCTCTTGCCCTGGGTAGAGTGCTGTGGCATCACAGCTCACAGCAACCTCCAACTCCTGGGCTCAAGCGAGTCTCCTGCCTCTGAAGAGACCGCAGGAAGCTCCACAGCAGGCACAGGCCGTAAATCAGGTAAACAGCCCAGGTAGCAACGACCAATCCACACACTACTAACCCTGGCGGAGACCCCAACCACAGAAAGACAGTCAACCTGTCAGAACCCCAGGCTTCCCCAATGACCAATAGGTGATCCGACACTGACTTCTTCCCCAGCCACCTTCCCTAGCATTTTATTGCAACCCATAATACCCTGCGAGAAAGTTTATAAAAACTTCCCTGGCCATTGTTTAGGGGCCACTCCCTTGGGACCACGCTATAAGCAGGAGTGACCTGAGCATATTCCCGAAAGAAATAAAGACCTTCCTTGACTTTTCATGTGTGCAAGGTGGTCTCTCAGTGGTGTCGCTTTAGGTCCTAACACCTCCACCTCCCAAGTAGCTGGGATTACAGGCGCCCGCTGCAACACCTAGATATTTTTTTGGTTGCAGCAGTCATTGTTGTTTGGCCCGCCCGGGCTGGATACGAACCCACCAGCTCAGGTGTATGTGGCTAGCTCCTTAGCCAGCCAAGGAATGCTAAATTTCTACATCAAGTCCTAAAGAAACTAATTAGCAGTCACTTTAGTGTTCCTGTTGAATATGAATTAACATAAGAATACTGTGTGGGGGCTTGGCGCCTGTGGCTCAAGCGGCTAAGGTGCCAGCCACATACACCTAAGGTGGCGGATTCAAATCCCTAGCCCGGGCCCGCCAAACGACAATGATGGCTGCAACCAAAAAATGGCCAGGCGTTGTGGCGGGCGCCTGTAGCCCCAGCTACTTGGGAGGCTGAGGCAGGAGACTC